TACTCCTTGTTTGTAAAAAACTTGCAGTTCGAATAAGTAACCTAGAATTAGATATGAAAGTATGAAACACCCATTTTCTTAAGTTGGAGATCCAAGAATGTAATGAAATTCTGAAACAAGCTATGACCTTGCTTCTTCAAATCCGAATAAATCATACTCAAGCCTCCTTCCTTACCTTTCCTGTTCCGGATACAATCCCCATGCTTGTTCAGCTTCTGCCTTCTTGTACTCTATGCTCCCCCCCCCCCCCACCCCTTCCTCCTTGGAAGGTAGGAGGAACTGAGATTAATACTAAATAGTAATCTCAGCTGTGTTCAACAGTCACTTGTGAGTTAAAATCTCGCATCAGCTTCTCGATTTTTGTGCAGTTGGCACTGGGATCTTGAACTAAGCGATAATAAGGGGTATGCTTGATATACAAGATTGATCGAGAGTAATCCTCCTGCCAAGGGAAAACCAGAAAAGTATACCTTCTTCCAACTATATAACTTTGTCAACTACTCTTACATGCAGAATAATTTTGCATTGGTTCTAAGGCAGTTATAGTCCTTTATGAAACAGCTAAAACGAAAATGGGGAGGGGGAATGGGGGAAGAGAGAAGATTGACACAACATTTATATACTTGAATAGATTTCTATCAGTATATAAAATTTGTCAGAAAAATAGAGCCAGGATCCCAACATTTCTGTACAATCTTTTATATCCATCCATGTAGATACATTATTGCCTAATTCGTTGATCTTTTCCTTGTAGATTGATAGCACTTAGCACTCTCCTAAGTCAATTTTCTTTGTTCTATACCCTTATGGCGATATCATTGTTGTGCCATATCTTGTTTACTGGGGCCCAATCGTAGTTGGGTTAGTGTGTAAGATGAGTAGCTTTGTTGATATGGTTTTGGAGAGTTTATTGATCCCGGTCAATGTCAATGTTCCTATATGCCTCCTCAGATTAATAAGGATAATTTGTAGAAAATTTTAGTGAAGTTTTAATAAAAATAAATGTGTCTAGCATTTTTGAAGCAGACTAAAATGGATGATAGGATAGTTGTTGCAGAACTCAAAAGTTTCCAAAGTGAAGTAAAACTGGCCCAAATATAATGCAGGGCCGATAAAAAATGTCACTGTTCTAAATAGATGACTAGGAGCATGTCTAGTTGTTTCTAGCTCATGTTGTGCACATGTCAACTATTTCATTTTCAAGCTCGTTGTATGCTGTATCATGCGCTAAGCAAGTTCTTTAGATGGAGCATAACATGTCAACTTGTTACATGTGACAGGCTGTGCAAAGAGACAAAATCTCAACTGAGTTTCTTCATATAACAGGAAAAATTGAAGAAGCTCTGAGTAAGATTTCTTATAACAGACTTGGTTTATCAGAAGAAGTTCAAGAACAGGTAATACTATTAATCTGAAATTCTGATTTCACTTGTGATATGATTAATATTTTAAGCATTCTCAATACAGAGCTTCACACTAATACAAAAATAAGATGCTTACAAGTGGCATTCTTTGGTTTCTTGTTCATTAGATTGGACTTGTTCATGCTCAATTTCTACGAGCAAAAGCTAGAACAGAATCATCCGATCTGCAAATAGAGATGGACATTACAGAAGTGCAGGACGAAGCAGAGCCTGATGCTGCGGTTCTCCAAAGATTATCGCAGAACCTGCACCTTTTGACGATGGATGATCTGAGGAAAGAATCGCATGCCTTTCATGAAATGGTCATCACAAGCAGTAGTGATCTTGGTGATTCATTTGAGATGATGTCGTCCCTATTTAAGAAGCTTAATGACTATCTACTGACTGTGAGCCCAGAAGTTGACATGTGTGATGTTGATAAAAACATGATAAAGCATAGATCTCCTGTTATACCAGATGACTTCCGCTGCCCTATCTCACTTGAGCTAATGAAAGATCCTGTTATCGTATCTACAGGCCAGGTTACCAACATTCTCTTCTGAGTTTGTGTTCTTTTTTGTTCTTTTTAATTGATTAAAAAAACTTGTCAATGGGTCCATGTGTAGCTTATAATTGTTTTTGACAATCTTCTCTCTATGCTAGAAGGCCTCTATGTTTCCTGAGAACGAGCAGCATCTTGAGACAACAATCCTGGGTCAAAAAGCTCTGATCTCTATTAATGCTCTTTTTGAATCTTTTGTGCAGACGTATGAGAGATCGTGTATTCAGAAATGGCTCGATGCTGGTCACAAGACATGTCCTAAGACACAACAGACTCTGTTGCATACAGCATTGACACCAAATTATGTTTTGAAGAGCTTGATTACCTTGTGGTGCGAGAATAATGGTGTGGAGTTGCCAAGGACACAAGGAACTTGTAGAAACAGGAGAACTAGCAACTCTGCTTCCAACTGTGACAAAGCAGCTATTGCTGCCTTGCTAAAGAAGTTGGCCCATGGAAACATAGAAGAGAAACGGGCTGCTGCTGGGGAGCTCCGGCTGCTAGGAAAAAGAAATGCAGACAACAGGGTATGTATAGCAGAGGCAGGAGCCATACCACTGCTAGTAGAACTGCTATCTTCTTCTGATTCTCGAACTCAGGAACATGCTGTGACAGCACTTCTTAATCTTTCTATTAATGACATGAACAAGGGCATTATTGTAAATGCTGGGGCAATACGAGATATAGTAGAAGTCCTGAAGAACAGTAGCATGGAAGCGAGAGAAAATGCTGCTGCTACACTATTCAGCTTATCAGTTGTGGATGAGAACAAAGTAGCAATAGGAGCAGCAGGGGCAATCCCAGCTCTAATCGATTTACTCATTCAGGGTACCCCTAGGGGAAAGAAAGATGCTGCAACTGCAATTTTCAACCTTTCAATTTACCAAGGCAACAAGGTGCGGGCTGTGAGGGCAGGGATTGTTGACCCTCTAATAAAATTTCTGAAGGAAGTTGATGGTGGCATGGTTGATGAGGCTCTAGCAATACTAGCAATACTTGCAAACCATCCGGAGGGGAAATCTTCTATTGGGCAGGCTGAGCCAATTCCTCTCTTAGTTGAGTTAATAAGAACTGGATCTCCTCGTAACAGAGAGAATGCTGCTGCAATACTTTGGTCACTTTGCATGGGTGATGTAAACCATTTGCAACTAGCAAAGGAGCTGCAGGCTGAACAAGTATTAAAAGAACTTTCAGAGAATGGCACTGATAGGGCCAAGAGAAAGGCTTCAAGTCTTTTAGAGTTCCTGCAACGAGCCGAAGATGTTGCTGAGTAGAACAGTAAGCACTAAGCAGTGTTGTAGTATCTCAGTCTTAACTCTTTCCTGGACTCTCTCCTTGTCCAGTCATCAATAGCAATGTTTTGTACTCATTTGTAAATAGATATTACTAAACTAAATTTGTGCATTGTACGTGTATTAATATATTGTGTAATCATATAAGTGTATGTAAAGTTGCATCAAAATAGATATATGTAAATCACATTATTAATTGTTATCTGTTATTCACCTTTATTTTTCTTTACTTTGCAAATTTGATCTCTCACCCGCCATCCTTTCATCTCCATTGATTTCCCACTCTCTCTACTACGTATCTGTCACTCAAATTTTTTCTCTCTTGAATGTAACTATGAGAATCTATCACTGGAGTCCTTACAAACGCACAATCATTGCCAAGGAATTGAAAAAAATAGGGGTCGTCTTTTATATTGACAAAACTCTATAGATTAAGTTTAGATATGCAATTACAACTCTTGTGCAACCTACTTATTCATCCAATTTTTTGAATTTAATTTCATTTTAGCCCAAAAAAAAAATGCACTTAAGAAAGAGAACAGACCCTACCCGCCGTGGGTCAACCCAGACTCCATCCAATTACCCGAATTAACACTCCTAATCACCACTACAAACACTACACCGCAACCGAAAAGTGAATGTCTCAAGTAAACAGAACAATCTTTGTGATTTGCACACCCGAATTTATACATTTCAATTACTCAAGAATTCTTCAAATCTCATTATATTAGTGTTTGGAATATGCGGTTTTGGGTTTGTCAAATCACTTCCTGGATAAATGACAGCTAAAAATGAATATTCATATTAGGGTAAACGACTTTAGAGAAAATTGGACGACTCATGTTCAATGTCTCCTAGCCCCCAGTTGGTCAAGTAAAGTCGCCTGAATGGTTGAACGAGCTTGCAACTAAGCATCCAAAATCATCGCAGCGAGCTAAAAGTATGCTAACGCCTGTGGACAAGGCAATTTGCCGATCAGACGCAAAAGTAGCAAAAGAGGAGGAAAAACTGAATTTAAGTACCACCATAACAATAAGGCAAATCGCCTTGGAAGTTAAGAACTAAACATCTTGTGCTTGCATTACTTGTTTCCAACCATATACTTGAGATATGATGAATTATTTGACTTAGAGAGATGGAAATTAAAACTCTATTGTAACGTAAGTAGAAGTTGAAATTCAAATTCAATTGCTTCCGATGAATGTCATATCTATGACTCCTTCCGCCTAAGATTGTCTCAAATTCTTTTTGGGGTCATTTTCTAAACATTACTCCATTTTAATTTAATTAGCACTGGTCTCCTCAATTTCTCTCTATTATTATGCACACGCTTAAGAATAAATTTACCTACTCACTCAATACAATTACGAATACTATAAAGCATGGAGAGGGGTATTTAGCAAATGGATGGAAAGAGTAAAAGTTCAAAAGTTCTTCAAAGAAGGTTCTTCTTCCTCACTTGCGTACCAATTAAGAAAGTGATCCCTGGGAAAAGTATTATCATCTATATTTTTTTGGACATGGTGAATTCCTGTCTAAAGAACTTTAAAGTAAAGCTTGCATCATATTTATATTATAAGACAAGATGACATGTAGTGGACGAGTACAGTCGGTATAAAGTGAACTTATTTTCTTATTTTCTTAATAACCTCACCCTTCAGTATTGCAAAAAGAAGAATCAAACTGCAGCATTAATCCAGCATTATGAAGAGCATTCTGATGAAACCATCATTAATTCAGAGATAAATAAGATTTACAGGACATACTGATTATCATAACACAAGGAACAAGCCGAGAGGGGTTATTCAACAGATATCCAGAGGTCCAGAGTATTATTGACAAATAATTAACATGAATATTTGATGATAAAACAAGTTAATAAGGGTATGCATTACATTAAGTCATCCCACTCTTGCGACTGACTGTACATCAACTTAAAATCCAATTTCCTAATGACAATACAAGCACCTTAAACATACCATATAAATTGAACAAGCTATATTGGAAATTTATACAACGGTGGCGTTCTTGAAATTTTGCCATTTGTTAGAATGTTCCTCTCTGGTCCAACTACGATGATGATTCAGGCCGAGGAAGCCGCTTAGCAATTTCCTACAGCAGAACCGCATATGTCAATTCAAGTCACATAAAACTAGTACAGATGTAGATGTATTTGATCTGCAATTGCTATTAGTTTTCTAGGAAAAAAAAAAGTGAACTTATTTTGCCTAATTTAAGCTTCTTGAACTTGTTAAATCTAGTAGCATTAGAACTTATTTCTCCAAAGTAAACAGCCTAATTAGCTATCAGTTCAGATTTAAGAACTAATATGTTAATGCTTAACGGTCTTTAATCTAAGTTTTAATATGTTAATGGTCTTCAACAATGACTTCAAAATTTTCATCTTTAAACATTAGTATACGTTATATAAAAAGAGGTAAATTTATGAATGCAATTTGTATCTCAATCTAATAATTAAATCACAAGTAAATTTTTTGACAGTTCAACTGATTTTCAGGCAACTTTGACAGAAAAGCAACAATTGAGAGTCGACAAAATACTATGAGAAAAAGGCAGCTTAAGGATTAATGTTACAGTATGTACCTCAAAGAGTTGATTTATGTTATCAGCTGTCTTTGCCGAGGTCTCAATATAGAACATCCCATTCTTCTCGGCATATTCAATTCCCTCCTTCATATACCATTATGGAATACCAATCAAAAAAAGGGGGAAAAAAGGCTAAATGTAAAGATACTTGTATGCAAAATATACAAAACCTATCACAATAACTCACCTCAGCAGGTATTTCTCTACGATCTAGAAGATCAGCTTTGTTCCCAACCAAAGCCATGACTATATCAGGACTCCCGTGTTTTTGCAATTCCTGCAGAATCATTCATGTATATGCAAATATCAATTTTAGACGATGAATTCAACAAGGCCATCAATGTTTTGCATCTAGAATGGCAGAAACTATTGTCAATAACAAATATGTCATACGAAAGGTGACACAAGACCTTGATGTCTAAGAACAGGATAATAATAGAACCAGACTTCGCTCCATGTTCCATACTCTCCCCAACAAACAATGAACATAAATAAATTCAGGAATTCCAGTGTATTCGGATAACACCACTCCATTCAATTCAGGAATTCCACTGCGTTTTGATAACACCAATTAATTCACCTTAAGTTCTTAGATACACACCTACATACATCGTGATCTCCCAAGGTCCTACAAACTATCCATGGATGAATAATCATTTATTAGAGCAACCTTAATAAATGATAGGCATGTGAAGATAAGATAGAGAGCAAAATATTCACCCACACCTGGCTCTTTCAGGCTCAGTAATAGTAATCAACAAAACTGAACAAGGCAGGCAAGCGAGACTCAAGTTAAGCATGCCATAGCAACTAAACCTATGCTCTTATAGTTAAAAATTCAATATGAGAAATTATTCTAAAACCTATGCAAAAGGAGTGCCATAGAACTCAACCCGAAAAAAGTGTAAGTGTATGCAATCAGTTGGAGATATACTTGAATGAGGCCTCAACAGCCTCAACATACTCCTAATTCAAATCTAGAACATCTTAAGTTCAGCTAAAACGACTCCATGAGGGTGTGTGCCGATAGCAAGTCATCAACATCACCATTAAGTACAGAATTTTTCTCTCGAGGTTGATAATTAGCTTGATGAGTTGTAAGGAGCAACTGAGCAACCACGTTCTCCAAACCTGGTTTGTATAGTGAGCTCATGGTTGACACATCTATGCAAGTATGCAGGAATAATTTTATGCACTTAATGGTCTTAATTGCATGATATGGAAACACATATTTGTAAATAATATATCTTATAACTATCCAGATGCCTTGCTTTTAGGTTCATGGCATGACTATTACCAAAATTTCTCCCTCTCATGAATGTTTCATTTATGCAAATCATTTCCTGATTGTTCTATATACTGATCAACAAATTTGTAGACTTAATCCAAGTTTTAGGATATAAAATTCTTTGGCTTTTGAGGCCCAAACCTGGCACATTGTGAAAAGAACATTGGTTGGCAAAAAATTAATACCTCTGGACATATGCAGTTAATGAAAATTGAATTGAATAAAGGAGGATTTTAAATTTTAAAGCAGGAAAATTTGCAAATATCCGGTATAAAATCAATTAAGATAGCCAGAAGATGGAAATGTTGAAAACCAATTGATTTAACCAGAATAAATTTGATATGGGAGAGCATCTAAAATGTCTCATCAAGCAAAGAAAACTAACTTTTGTCTTATAATAAAATATAAACAAGAATGGGGTCAGCTACATGAACTCATATATCTCTCGTACTTGCTAACCATGATTTTTCTCCTTCCACTCCCTAGTATCCAACATTATATGCTCTTGCAAACCCAACTTCATGTCCATTTTAACTCCTTCCTTCCAAGTCATCTTTGATCTTCCCCTATTTCTCTTCTATGATCCCCTTGATCCCAACCCTCCACTTTCCTCTCTGGTGCGTCATCCAATCCGCTTGACATGCCTAAACCAACACTCTACCACATTTTATGCTCATTGTCTACAATGCTAACTTTCCTCTCTTCATTTTCTAATTATATCCTTTAAAGTGTTCCCACACATCAATCTCAACATGCACATCTTTGCTACTTCCATCTTCCTAATATGATCCTTCCTGAATGCTTGACCCATATAACAAAGCTAGTCTCATAGCCGCTTTGATAAAACTTTCCCTTTAACTTCATACATATGCTACAACCACATTCCCCAGTTGCTTCTCCATTTGAGCCTATCGGACTTAATCATGTGGGTATATCTTATTTAATTTTTCCATTCTTTTGCAAATTCAACAAACAGGTATTGAATCACTCACAAACTTTCTTTACCATCCAATGTTACTATAAACCCCACTTGACTCTCGTAGTGCTAAAACTACAATTCATATACAAAACCTTGTTCCGACTTATTCAAAACCCCCTAAATTATAACTATATTAAAAAATAAATATAAAAAAAAAAAAAAAAAATAAAATATAAAAAAAATTTCACAAATTTGCAATAATGGATTGGTTGATAAAGGGTGAAAGAAATACTATTTTGTGCGAGAAAATGAGTTCTAGACATATATTATGTCTTACCAAGTTCAATGTGGCAAGGATTGATCAACTTGTTAGCTAGCTAGGTTTTGGAAAGCTTCATTCAAACAAGCTTCAAGTATGTAGCAAAATGAATCAAGTGGCAACATGGAGTGAGCAAGTAGTTTGACAAGGATGCTGGGAGTTTTGCATTGAATCCAATGTATAAAAAGGGTCAAGGCACACCAAGGCGTTTCAGAGTTCCTTGCGCCTAAGGCGCGCCTTATTGAAGTGAGGCACATATAATAAACAACAACAACAACAAAACCTTAGTCCCAAAATGATTTGGGATTGATTAACATGAATCGTCATCAGGAACCGTACGATATAAAGAAAGGGAAGTAACAAGATAATCAATTGAAAGAGTTTGAAAAAAGGTGAGTATAGTGAAAAAAGAAAGAACATCCAAGAAAAAAAGGGAGTTTTAAAAGGGAACCAAGAATAAAATTCAAGAAAGTTTCAAAGGCGCACTGAAGCGCATATAAACAATACAAAAAATTATGAATAAAATCCTTGTGCGCCTCGGGGGTGCGCGCTGACAAGCGCACTTTAGGGCGCGCTTTAGGGCATATAATTGGAGGATGTTGGTCGTATTTAGGACCGTTTTGGTCGTTTATTGCCTTGTTATGCTTATATCCCTTATATTACGTGCTTCGCGGGTTTCGGATTGTTTTTTATGTGTTTTCAGGTATAATTGACCGAGTTTAGTCGGGTCCCGAGCCGTTGGTGCGTGATCGAGCCAACTTTGGTCATAGTTCAGCAAACTAAGGATGTTGCAAGAATCTGCATAAGTTGCACAAGCAGCACGGCCGTGCCACATCTGGCACGCCCATGCCAGATTGCCCTCAACTTCACTGCCTATGCTGCACGTCCGTGCCATCTTCCATGTGCCTTTTGGCACGGCCGTGCCACTTTTGGCACGCCCGTGCCAATCACTCCAGCACGCCCGTGTCATTCGTCCTCCATGCCCGTGCCAATTCAACTGCAGCACGCCCGTGCCAGATTCAGCACGGCCGTGCCAAACCAGCAGCACGGTTTAGCCAATATCAGCACGCCCGTGCTGAAGTTCAAGAAAATAGCGACGAAGCTACTGCCATGCCTGCACGGCCGTGCTGATTCAAGAAGATTTCTGCGCATTTACTTTCCGAATTAAAACACATATATAGCCCGATTGTAAAGGTTAAGGGGGACAGATTTTTAGAGAGATATTGAGAGTACTTCCGTAGTTAAGGTTCCATAGTTTTCTTAGATTTTATTCTAGCAAATTCATAGTTCATCATATTCGAGATACTCTAGTTTTCCGGATTTTATTCAAGGCAAGATTAATTGGGGATTCTTTGTATTATTCATTGACATCGGATATCAAAGTTCCAATCTTTTGCATTGATTCGCATCGATTTATTGGTATTATTCGCTCCTATTTATTATTCAAAGCTTTATTATCCTTGATTAGAATTCATGTTTAGATTTATTATGCCTTTAGAATTTATTGTTGCTTTGATCATGAATATGTGTGAGTAGTTCCCTAACTAGGGTTTCGGGATGAAACCCGGCCTAGGTAATCTATGTAATTGAGGATTGGTTTTGATAAACGGATTGTGATTAAATTGATTATATGCGATTGGATGTTAATTCATTATAATAGGAGTAGCTAACCTAGAGTCTTTAATTTGATTGCATGTTATTCTTGGTTTGAACAAGAGATTGTGAATTGAGTATTTCATTATTGAATGTGGTTTGATTATGTATCGAGTAATGTTAAGTGCATGAGAAATCCAAGCTTAGTATTGCCTGTTGTCTTCCTATCACATGATATTGATCGGACATATAGTCTTTGCATATCCAGTTTGTCTCTATAATTCCTTATTGCTTAGTTACCAATGGTTAGGCGGATTCCCGTTCTCCCTAGTGTTTTAGTTTATTGATTTATTCATCTCATTAGTAGTTATTTAGAACACCATCTTTCATTTGACTTCGAACTAGCTTAGGTTTTAAGATTGATTTGCAATTACTCCCGTTCTTCGTGGACCGAACCTTTATTTGCCATTGTACTGGTTATAGGGTGTTCGTATAAATATTGTTTGATTAAGAGTTATATTGTGCGACCAATTTAACGCTTGTCACGCGCCTTAAGCTGCACCTCATCGAAATCACCTCGCCCAGACCAAAAAAAAAAAAATAGGCCTTGCGCCTCAGAGCCTAGGTGCAGCGTGCATTAACTTTACATTCCTATCACATTTTCGGAACAATGTTCAGTTGTTCACATAGTTTCGTTTATTTTTATTATCTTAATAGAATAAAGGTAAGCGAGCATGGGTAGTAGATAGGTTAGCTAGTGCATAATTTTTTGTTCTTATTAAAACTGCCAAAATAGTTTTAGCCTCCCTAACTATATATTTAGTGATTACAAATACTAAGATTGTTTGTATTGCAAAAATTTATACAAGTTCTCTTTCTTTGAATCAAGATTGAAAGAGATAAAAGATCACCTCATAATAGACTGCTTTTATTGTTGGGAAACACAAATAAGGTCAAGCGGATCAATAGAATGAGAACATTGAAGCTTAATTGAGCCCTTACAGAATCACATAAGTTATAAAGAATATGTTCTTATTTTCTTTTTCGCAATCTTTATTAAAGTTGAATCAGTGTATAGGCAGCAGCCTAGCAGGTGTGGATACACCTCATGGAGATGGGCTAAAGCAATTAAATGAACCTCAACTCCTCAATGCCACTACCTTTGAGGATAAGTTTATACTTAAGAGCTTAGTCATGCTGAATTTCCTACTATAGCCTCTTATGGTACAGAATGTTGGGCTTCTAAGAAGGAGCACATTAAAAAGATGGAGGTTACAAATATGTGTATGTTAAGGTGGATGTGCAGGAACACTCTAAGAGATAGAATCAGAAATGAGGTTATTCGCAAGAAAGTAGGTGTGGCAGGCATTGCAAACAAACTAAGGGAAAATCGCCTGCGTTGGTTTAGGCATGTAAGACGGAGATCCGAGGGTGCAGCGGTCCGAAGAGTGGAAGAGTGGAGGGATTAAACGAAGAAGAGGGAGACCGAAAATGACTTAATTGGAAGGAGTTAAGAAGGATGTGAAGTATATGGATTTGCATGAGAAAAAGCATTGGATCGTAAGGGATGGAGGAGGAAGATCTTTGTGGATGACTACACGGAATAATAAATTTTGGTTCGTGTAGCCAACCCCACTTATGGGATTAAGGTTTTGATTGATTGATTGATAGGAAACAAATAATTCATCTTCAGAGTCTTGGATCCTTATAGAGTTGCAGGTCTCAATTAACTAATGAGGCCCAGTACTAAAGCAATAGACTAAGCATTTCCATGCGCTTTCTAAAAGTAACATGCATCTTAAGGAAAAGCTAAATACAAGGAAAAGCTCAAAATATGCCAAGATGTGATAGAGCTAAACTACTCCAAAGGCCGTAAAGAAGGTAGGGCATTGATTTCTTGCTAAATTTTCTGTGAAACTTTTGCATCCAAAAGTACAACGTCATCTTGGCTATTATACTAACTCTTATAGCATTCTGATGTCATCTTTCTATCTCAATGAGCAACAGATGCACAATTTTGATTGTCTATCCCAATCCAGTAATTGAAAACACAATATAAAACTATGCTTAAATTGCCCCACATTTGTTCCAAGTTCCAATAGCCCTTCTATTGTGGCTATACAATAACTCAACCTAAGGAAATGTTTCCAAACAAACTACATAACAGCCAATTTGGATACCACTTCATGAATCCGTCATTTCTTAAGAAAACAGAATTATAAAAATAGAATTAAGGCAAAAAATGACTTATTGCCTCTAACAAGTTATATTAAGTGAAACTAAACATGTGCATTGATAAAATAGAAGTAATAAAATAATAATAATAATAAGTCATGAAATCGTACCTTTACCCAATATTGAGCTTTAGTAAATGACTCAGGACTTGTTAGATCATATACAACAACTGCAACTGCAGCTCCTCGATAATAAAGTGGAGCAAGCGCAGCATACCTACCAAACAATCAACTTCATATATTTGCATAATAGAACAAGATTATACAACATACTAACATTCTGCAAATTTCGGCATACCTTTCTTGCCCAGCAGTATCCCAGATTTCAAATTTAACAGTAGTTGAGTCCTGCAATGCTATTGTTTGCGAAAGAAAAGACGCTCCAACAGTCACCTTAACATCAAACAAAAAATTCAGTACACAATTCAGCACAGTCTCTCCTCTGATAGAATACAAGATAAATTTAATTAAACCCAATTCTTTCAACCTTGGATGTAGGGTCAAACTGACCACGTACAAAACGAAGAACAATACAGCTTTTTCCAACACCAGAATCCCCAAGAAGCACGAGCTGAAACCACCATAAAAAATCAGAAAAGCCTCAATTACACCGAATTCAGCTAAAATTAACAACACCCAGAACAAAAATTTGCAACTTAATTAAACAAAAATCAAAATTCAATGGCACCAAATTCACATCTGCAAGAAAAACTACCTTAACTTTCAAATTTTTGGCATCGGAAGGACCCTCAGTGCCAGGATTAAGACCATTTGGACCTCTAGTAGTTCTATCTGCCATGACATTAACCAAATTAAGGGTTTGATATGAATAAATTATATCAAGAAATATGAACCCTAGAATTAAATACCCAAATAATCAGAGTGTAAAGAATAGAAGAGTATAAGAAGATGATATACCAGGTGCAGAGGATGCGCAACCCATTTGGGCGACGGTGGTCTCTTCAGAAGTGGGAAACTGGGGATTGAGATGGCGGAATCTGAATGCAATGGGAAAAATTCTACGCCCAACTCGAGTTTTTCTTAATTTGGTTGACAACAAACTAAGGAGATTTTTTTTTTTTTTGGTTTTTTTTTTTTTATATAATAAAAAGAAATTTAAGATACACGGATTAGACGAGGAACTTCTTTTTGCAAGATCATTTCAAATTCTGTAGAATTAAATTGAGTTTATAGTGCCCACAAAGGGAGGGGAAAGATATAATAGTAGTGGAGGATCGGTCGTTAGGAGGAATAGACTTATTACTCGAAATGGACAAATATAAATACTATTAATATTGGCTTATAGTATTTTTAAAAAGAAACATCATTACGACATTTCTAGATACACCAAAAAAAAGGGTGGCAAACTTGGGGAGAGAGCGAGGAGAAAAAATCTTAAGAGACCGGACAAAATATAGGATTAAAGTAGAGGAGGGGAATGAATCTATCCAAGTATGAGCAGAGGTAGAAAACCAAAGATTTAAAGAGAAGTGTTGTGGGACTCGGAATGCGTATTACAAAACGAAACAACAAGAATGGACATTAAATCATCCCTTGAAAAAACGAATAAGATTTTCATTACTTGTATATTTTTTAAAGTAATGATTAGAAATAAGGAAGACTTAGTTGGTTATTAAGATTAAAAATCTATATCTATATCTATACTTTATTACATATTAAAAGCGTTTCTAAAAACGTTTATGTGCCACGTGGCACCCTCGCTATGTCATCTTTCAATTACTAGGTTAGAACCCGTGTGATGCATGGTTTATATAAAATCTATTTTTATAATTTGTAAATAAAAAAAATGGATAAATTATAAATAAAAATTATGCACCTTGTACAAAAATATTTGTACTTTTAAAATTTTAGATTTTCAACAAAATTATGATATAATACATGTTCAACGTCGCCTAATACATTTTTCGATGTAGGAGTCTATTTATTAGTGTGCTATTTACAATTTGTTTCATTTTTTTAGGATAAATTGATAGATTGTAGTTGTAATGTAGAAGCTTCTAATGTTTAAATTTCAAAATTGTTAAATATGGTAGCTTCACACAAAAAAAAAAAGGTGACATCATCCCTACATTTAAGCAGGAAAATTGTTATAAGTTTTGTTTAGTAATAGTTAATAGATAAGCATATTCTGTTTTGAGGTTTTTTGATGTCCTGCGGGAGAGTTACAATTCCAAGACTGACTTCTAGACGCCTGTACCTGCAAAACAACGAAGACTCCGGTGGGTGGGAGTTCCGCCTTCGACGGTCAAGTTCGAACGTGTATGAGGAATAAAGCGCGGAAAGTAAAGGGTCTCTCTTGGACTCCAAGAGAGTATCTGCAATGTGAAATTGCTCAGTTCGAGGTGTCAGGTGTCTGACTTTCTCTGATTGTGAGTTAACGTGAATTAAAATGTTTTTTTGAATCATGTTCCTCAAAGGGAAACAACTCCCTTTTATATGGTGTTGGAAAACGTGCCCAGTACTAGGTTTTAGTAAACCTAGGGCTGACTAGGCTTTGCCTAGGAATTTGGGCCGTAGAAGGCCATTTTCCTGATGGGCTATCTGTCTGCCACGTGCCGTGGCCTGGTTGGTCCATCTTGGACCACTCACGAGGTGACACGTGGCGGACTCTGGTTTGTTCACGTGGATGACACGTGGCAAGACGTGATTGGTCCACGTGGTGGGGGAAAATCCCCTAATAATTTGCCCCTCGCATAAGTGACATGGCATGCCACGTGGCGCCTGTGATAGGTGTCACGCCATGATAAGCTAACGGTTTTTTACCTTTTTTTTTATTGTCTCTTGGAATTCACCCCCCCCATAAATAGGGGATGTCCAAATCATTTGTTTGGACGTTTCCAAAAAATTCTAGAGAGCTTTTGTTTTTTTCGGAGAGAGAGCTTCCGACTGCACCAGACCGCTTGTTTTACAGACTTCCTGCTCTTACAGTCGTTGTAGACTTTCAAGTACTTCCGTCTTCATCAACTAAAGGTAAACGTCTGTTTTTTTTTTTTTTTTTTTTTGTACTTTGTTTTACTTTTGAAAATGGTTTCCCAAAAGCACATGGCACGACCTAGGTTAGTAATCAATCAATCACCGAGGACGGTTGAATCTAGAATTAGGAGTGTCGACTGCCCCTTGCTGGATCACCCTTCGCGAACTGCACCAAGTCCGACTGTCTATGTGTCTGTGCAAGACACCATGGCCAGAACTAAGGGAACAGCAAGGGTGACAAATTCAGACAGCTCTTTCTTTCATGCGCCTGTTAGCGAGTTGTCTGACGTGCCGCCTGGTGCCCCAAGTACCCTTAGTGATTCCATTTTAGACGAATCAGGGGAAGAATATGTTATGCCAGCCTTTGTTGATCTGGCTCGCCAGGCGGACCCTTCATCCGAGAGCTCAGATAGCGATTATGAGCCAAGCACTTTAAACAAATTTTCGGATGAATCTGAAGAGAGGCACTCTCGGCTAGAGAGTGCCCGAGAGTCCCTTTCAGTAAACTTAGGACCAAAATGGGCGGAGCCGTCTGCTTCCAATCGAGAGCAATACACCGCCTACTATCATCATGTTCCCAAAGGCAGGCGGAAAATGATGGTTGAAAAAATTGAGAGCTTCAGAGCTGACCATGTCATGGGACATGGGTATGTAATTTGCACGCCGGATGCCAAGGACACTGTAGTCTGGCCCGAGCAGTCCAGCTAAGGGGATGCCTGTTTTGGCTGTTATGAGGCGACAATTAAGGTTGGCCTGAGATTTCCTCTACATTTGGCTGTAGAGAACATTTTAGACGGATACTAGCTAGGTGTCTTGCATCTAGCCCCTAACTCTTGGTTCAACATCTTGGGCTATGTTTCCAGCTGTGAGATGCATGAGGTAGAGCCAAGCTTTGAGGCATTCGCTCATATGCACTACCTCAGCCGGACCCCAAAGACAAGCGGGACCAGCTGGAATCAGTTGTCTAGCCACAAAGGCTATATGATGACTGTGGGGAAGGAGAACAAGTGGAAAGATTGAAGGAACACTTTCTACATCATTTCCAGCCCTAACACAATTAGAAACAAAAAATTTAACAGGCGGCTCTGAGCTGCCGTCTGTTCCCTGTAAAGCCAAAGAAGAGATCCTTGACAGAGGGCTCTTCAAAGTAGACATACAGGCGAACCCAAGATTGGGGCGAGGGAGTTCATTCCTCAAACCTATGTTCCCAAGTATAAGTGGTTATACGATGGGACATATCTGGCCGCCTGTGGCCTAAGTGAAGAGATGCCGAGAGGTAGCTGACCGCCTGTTTAAATGTCTTGTGAAACTTAATTTATTTTGTATCAAACTAACTCCTTGATTCATGTTTTGCAGACAAAGCTATGGAAAAGCTCTCGGCCTCTAAGAAAGTTGCTGCTCAGTACTGCTCGACCATCCTTAGCAAGCGGCCAGCTGAAGAATCGCCTGTTGTGTAGGCGTCAAAGATGAACTTTCAACTGAACATATTTCATTTAGCTTTTCTGCCGCCTGCCTCTCACTTATTGAGATTATTTTGCAGGGCACTTTAACAAAGCCTTCCTCCTCCTCTCAGTCGGATCCTAAGGTTAGGAAACAGACGGCTAGTGATGTCACGACTCCTGGGAGAGCTAAGAAGCATGTGGCCTCAAGGCCAGGAAGCATTCCACCCCCAAAATCTCCAGCCGTTCCTACTAGCAGTTGGCTGGGGAAGGAGAAAGAGAAGGAGGCGGCTACTGAAGGTATCAAAGACCTGTGTCCTTTCCCTTACCCTTTGAGGTCAATTTTAATCAGCAGTCGCCTAGCCCCTCTAGGAGCAGTCGATCTATTGGCCGAATTTACACCAAGTACTTACAGGGTATTGATTGTGCAGATGTCCCTTAAAGGCCGGACCTGGTTCAGATGGCTAGGTCCTTGCTGAAGGCCATCCCTATCGAGGATAGGGAGTCTGTTAAGGGAGTCGGCACCCTTAACCTTGAAGCCATCCTGGCTCTCCTGGCCAACGTATACTTAGTAAAAAGTTCCTTGTTTGTTTAAATAATTGCTTAGCGCCTATGACTGACGATTGTTTTTTGGCCGTGTGCAGTCTATGTTGTGAGTGTATGGTCTCCGTAAGCCCCTGAGCGAAAAGAACAAAGAGGTAAAGGCTGCGAAGGCCCGGACCGCCTCTGATTATGACAAAGCTATGTTCCAGATTGCACAAAACGAAATTTTGACCACTGACATACTGTATTATCAAGCGTTTGTCGATTTTCAGGTCAAGGACTTAGAGCGGCCTAGAAGAGGAACTCAGAACCGGAGAAGTTCGTATCGGACCTCAAGGCTGAGCTCGCGCCTCTAAAGGAGGCGGACCAAGAAGCAGCCGACCTCCGCAGTCGGGTAGACAAGCTGAAGCAGCGGCTGGCCAACCTGAAGAGCAAGCTTGCCAAGAAATACACTTCAAGGGCCGATGAGGAGAAACAGGTGCTGGTCAAGGACATGATGGAGGACAACAACTTCATCATGGAGATGACCTGGGCGGCTCTCTTCCTAGAGACCAGCTATGACAGCTGGAGGAATCAGTTTGCCACCAGCTATGGGGCAAGACCATGACGAAGAAAAGGAGGGTGGCGAGTCGTTTGATTCCACCTCTAGGGAGTCGGACCAGGAGGAGGCGGAGGCGGATGGCGAGAACAAGGAGGAGGAGCCGGCTGGGGACCAGAAAGATGCGGCTCCTGAATCTGAGAAGCCTCCTCTAGAAGTTTAAGTATTTCTCTGGCCTGCGTGCCACTTACTTATATCATTACCCGACCAAGGGGTCGCGGTTTATTGACAACTTTAAATTTTAACATTTCCTGTCGGTCTTCTAGCCAATTGTTAATATTAATCATCCGGTTGTTTTTGCCGGTTTCTTCAAATTTTGAAGTTTTTGAATTTTTGCTTTTCATGAATTTGGCGAAGTGTATGTAGCTTGCTTCTTGTTTTCATGAATACTTTATATACCGACTGTCCTTGCCCTTGGGCGACTGGCGCCTGGTTTTCAAAGGTGAATTGATTCACTTGGAATTTTTGATACTCTGAGTATTACTATTTCTAGGTCAATCAATCACTATGGTGATTGCCCCAAACCAGGCGGTCAGCCGGCCATCGCCCAGGCGAACACCTAGCATAACTCGGCTCTCGGCTTTACAGTAAACCGCAATATACTAAGTTTGTACTTAGTTTATTTTATTGATTGTAAATAGTTCGTCTGCTTGGTGCTTGTACAAAACAGGCGCCAATCTGGATGTTTTTAATCAAAGTAGTTCTGCGGTGTTGCTAACCTAAATAGGAATAGTGGCCGAATGCCGTTTCTTTATTATAAGGACAGGCGGCTTCATTCGTACCTTTTA